GCCATGGTGCTGATCTTGTGTCACCTCATTACTTATCTGTAGCGTTCATTGCATCATTCTAGGTTGTGTAATCAAAGTGATCATTTGTTGTTTAAGAGAATAGAAGCAGTATCCTATTTGGCGTTGTACGAAGAAAGTTAGGCCCTGACAAAGAGATCCGTGAACTTGTCAACTGGCATTTGAGACAATGACGAGGAATCTTCGACTGTCTTGAGAATCCTGTGATAGGGTCAGTATATGGAGCTATCGGTTTGCTAGTTTCTGCTTACTTCTCCTGATGGGCAGCATCGAAGTGAGGAGCGATATGCCTCTTGAATTTGGCCATCAACAATGGTGTACCTTCTTGTCTCTGTAATGATACGAAAAAAACGGGCATTAGTCTCCGAAGAAGGATCCCATCGACGTGTACGTACCCTTCGCTTGTGTCCAACTGGATATTCAACTTCTACCTCATCTAGCTTAGTACCATCGTTCAACTCGATGGTGATAGCGTTTCCAATGGAGCGCTTTTCGGGGTCGTGGTATTCTGTGCTGAATCTCTTGTCTTCTACACAGCGGATCTTTGCACGGAGTTCGTCAATGCGTGGATCGGCGGCCGACTTGTCAGTGCTAATGGGTTGTTAGACTATGATGTAACGACCAATTGAAAGAATAAACTTACTAGCTCTGCGATGTCAATTCACCAAAGATGAGTGGGTACGCAACCATGTAGCTGATAGCATGATCACGATCCGCAAAGTTATCCAATGGACCTTGCTTGTCAATAATCCTGATAGCAGCTTCTTGAGTCCTAATAACGACATTCTTGATATCAGCAGCACTCTTGCCCATTTCCTTGAGTTTGGCATGCAAGATGTGAGCAGCTTCAACGGCAGTCTGAGCGTGGAACTCGGCAGGGTAGGAGATCTTGAAGAGGACGTTCTCCATAATGTATTGTCCGTATGGGCGTTGGAACTCGAATGGACGACCCTTGAACAAGACATCATAGAAGCCCCAGGTCTTGGCGGTCAAGACGGATGGGAGACCCATCTCACCCTTTTGGACAAGAAGAGCGAGATTGACAGCACGAGAGCAAGCGTCGCCGGCTGCCCAAGACTTGCGTGAGCCAGTGT